TCCTCTCCACTGTCGCTACAAGCATGCTTAGTGTGAGGGATTGCTGAAGAGTCAATGAGTCGATCCAATAAACAGCTTTTCCTTAGATAGAAAACTTTGAATCAATGTGATTGTATGATCAGGTGAACTGGAAAGTGAGAGAACATGTGTTGTTAATTGGCGCTATAGAAATAAACTGAATTGAAATGAAATGTTTAAATTGAAAATATCCTCAATATTTTTAGATGTAGCCAATAAATAATGCAAACATATTTAGGGGAAAATGTGAATGAGGATGCTTGTGGACTGGGATTTTAAATCGTAATTTTAAAACAGTACAGTAAAAACAGTAAATAAACTAAATTTGAAATTAATTTTAATTCAGATAAGTTGAGTGATAACTGAGAGGAAAAATAATGACACAAGGAGAAAATTAAAATAAAAACTAAATTCCTTTTAGGTTGCTCCAAAGTTATTGAAAATTGTAATGATAAACCTATTGTATTGTATTGTAATGATGACACATTTTTTTTAGCAGAAGCGTCATGTTGACAGAAACGTTTTTAAACAGAGTTAATGAGTCAGTCGGTCAGAAAAAACTCCTGTATCGGTCACATGACTTTCTGGAAGCAGTGTTTTGCTCTATGGGCTCCATGCATGCACCCATGCATCGGGGTTCATCACTAGTAAAGGCAGTTCCTCATTACCTGGCTGCTGAAGGTGCTCAGCTAACATAATCTCTCTTTTGGGTATAGGTTGGCCTGCTACTGTTTCAGTTTCAGTCCCAGATTTTGTTTTTGTTTAGAATTTCTTTTGTTTGGATAGTTATTAGTGGTCAAAAGCATTTTCTGGATGTTTTTTTTTATTTTTATTTTTTAATTCATCCTCCCCAAACAGTCTAACTTAATTGGGGTTTAGCTATGTCTTTCAGCTATAAGGTTTCCAGGACCAGCATAGACTCCTACATTTAATTTTTGTACAGTAAAATAAACTGATGATCCTTGTCCAAAGGAACTTGTGCCTTCAATCAACTATATTTAATTTGCAACAGTGCCTCTGATAATTCCTCAAACTTATCAGTAAGATGATTTAAGGCTCTCCACACATACCAGAAACTATACCCTCAGTCACATTTAATTAAGCTTGTTCATTACAACAGAAGCTCCCCTTGCAATCATTGGGACAGTTTTTGTTAACTTCACCGTGCACTTACTGTCACAATAGTTTTATGGTGGTTGGTCCACGGAATTAAAGAGGAGGTGTTAATAATATGTTGAAGCACTCTGATTAAAAAGCCAATTTCCATTAAAAATCTTGGGTTTCATTTAACCTAAGAATCCTGGGGAATTTCTCAGCCTTCTGTTCTTTGGAAGTTCCTGAGCAGAGCTGCACTACACATTTCATCCAGCAGGTGGCAGAAATATCATCAGCAGCTAGATTTTTCAAATCCTGAAAAATCATTTTTCATTTCTTTTGCCGTTCATGCTTTGATGTTGTTGTTGATACTGACCTTTAATACATATCTAAGCAGTTATTTAACCATGTATGCACAATTCTATATATTGCACTCATTAATCAGTACTTTGTACTTTTAAAGGAGTTTACAAAAGTGAATGTTTACTGAAGTTTAAATTCAAATTACATTTTTGTGTTTACTGTGTTGTGTTTACGTGTTACTGAGGAAAATAAAAACATGCAGTGCCAGTAATCTGATCGCAGCCCTTATGGTGGCGCAGGGGGAAGAAATATTTTTTTTACTTACAGATAAAGTGATCCCTTTAGCTGTTATGCAGATTAAACTGAACATCCAACATTTGCAGATCATTTAAGGGAGATAAAAAAGGAGAGATCTGGAGTTTAGAGGGCTACAATGCAATTTTTTTAAATAATATTTTACTTTTTGTTAAAGATGTTTCTGCATGTAATCTAAAAGGTCAAAATTGGAAAGATGCACATTTGGATGTGTAAAGAAATCA